CCAACCAACCTCCAAATAGCCCTGATTTTAATGTCCTCGATTTGGGATATTTTAACTCAATTCAAAGCCTACAACATCAAAAGCATTCGCGCACCATCGACGAGCTGATTGAAAACACTGAAAGCTCGTATGATGAGCTGCCCATGGAAACATTATCAAAAACCTTCATCACCCTACAAAAGGTGATGGAGAAAACACTTGAAACCTTCGGAACGAACGATTACAAGATTCCCCATATGAACAAGAATGCCATCAAGGACTTGACGCTGTACAACGTTCGATGCGACCCATCAGTGCACAAGAATGCCGTCGCCTTCCTCAGCCAGCGACCCTTGAATTCCCAAACATGACTAGTTTTAATATTTTAATATAATGTCATTATATTTTTGTGCAATAATATGAAATTTTGAAGTTCAATACAAACTTGAAGATATTTTTCACTTGGGTAGTATACTTCAATCAAGATAAAAATATAGGCCTCTTCAGCCAGAACAGAGTAGTATCGATTATGAAAGGATTTTTCTCAGATTTTCACCTATTTTTATGCATAGAATGAAAAACGCGTTTATTAGATATGGAACTTTATTATGTAATACGGTGAAAAATGACTCATGTTGAAACTTTGCAACATCGCTTTAGCGAGAATATCAACATTGAAGATGTGTTTAAATGCTCACTTCGTAGCTTGGCATGTGAGCTACAATGTTCATATTAACTGTTTATCGCTAGCATTTATGCAGCAAAAATTATTCCCAAAGGCCCCCTCACAGCTGTCGACCACTGTTAACACGGAATTCATTCTTCCTAAATATCGTGCACACATCCATTCACATGACGGTCATGAGCACAGCCTGCTTTTTGCAGCAAATAAACTATTCTGCATCATACGTTAACATACCGTATTTCCCCTATCCTATCATCAACCATCATAGAAATGTAGGAAACCCAAGCTATTTTCAAAATCTATCCAACACTTGCACCCCAATATTGTATGCATCATATTTTCACGGCAGCGTACGTGAGAAAACCTAATGTTTCCACGAAGCATATTGGCCTTCGCATGATATGTCCCCGGACATGTTCGTAGTTTTGTGCCACACAACGCAGCGGTAATATATAATCCACCGTCCAAAGTGTGTTAACGGCCGTGTTGTTCGTCACTTTGTTGAACACAAATATGTACAGGCCCGAAACCCTTGCTGAATTCAACGAAGCAAAACATTCTGCACATCAAGTTTCTACAGCATTATTTTTCCTCCATTTACCCCACACAACACAGTGATTGTTCCAAAACACTGCTACTTAAATGGCGAACGCCTTCCGAAGTATATACGGAAGTAATGTTCACCATATCCAACACAGCGACCGCGCCCATCACTACCGGCTCTGCCACATGGGCCAGTTACTGTCGAGCCCGACTCATTGCGAACTAACTACGCGTCTGCTGCGCCTCCTTCGGCTCTGCCACTCGCGCCAGTTACCGTTGAGCCGGCCTTGTTGCCAGCCAACTACAGGTCTCCTGCTGATGCAGGCGATCTCGACTTCGCTGAAGTCCAATCCAATGAGGTTCTCGTCACCGATCGCCTACCACTCTACCCACCGCGACCATTATTTCACATCCCAGCCAGCCCAAACAAAGTGGATCTTCCACTGTTCCCCCCCAGCGCCTTGTCGGTTACTCGCAGTGATGTTCTCACCGCCGATCAAAGTTGTTCTGCAACTTCAACCACGATGTGTGGACGGTATCCGTCCCCATCCACCCTTCCAAGTCATCAAGGGCAATCGCTTTTTTGCCCTACACGCGGATCTCAGCTACTGCGAGAATGATTCCGGTGATCCTCCTCTACCGAAGGCGGTGACCTATGGTCCTACCAACTCCCTGCTCTGCGTGAACATTGGATCGTTGATTCCGGGGCATGCACCTCGTGCACCCCCAACCGAGATTATTTCTCGCGTTATGTTCCATGTGCGCTGTTTTTGATAGTCGGGAACGACACCACATTCCCAGTCGTCGGTTATGGCGCCATCTCGATGCTAGTGGTCATGTCGTCCCACGACCAAGTCGATGACATCCGTCCATGCACTTTGCGTCTCGACTTCGGACCCCACTGCCCCGAACTACAGTTCAATCTGATCTCCGTCCGTCAAGCGTCGGACGACAACATCACAGTCCGGTTTCCGGCTCGTGACAGGTGTGAGATCACCACCTACTTTGGAGACGTGGTTAAAGTACCCAACAACGCCATGGGACTTTATTCGTTCCCTGCCCAACCCAAGTTCATGGGCACCGATCCGCACCATGGGGAGTCTCTCCACATTTCAGACTTGACCCGTTTCCGTGCCATGATAGCCTTGTTCGAAACCGCTCTGCGAACCTTTTCGACGAAATACAGTGGATTTTCCACATTTAACGATCAATTGCATATGTTTGCTTACTCGTTGGACGAGGCTGGCGAGACAGTCAGTTGGAACATGAATAGTGTCATAGACACGGGTAGTAAGTAGTTGGTGTGCCAAGCATAGCATGGGCAACACTCAAGTAGACAGAGTCTGTAGTTAGAGGAGGCAATGGAGTTTTCTTGGGGACCATAGATGGTCGATGGGTGATAGGCGCATAGCGCAACAAGCTGACTCCAAACTTTCCGCAACTAGCCTTGCGCGCCTTTGGCATCACCACCTTGGCCATACTGGCATTGATGCCTTCGAACAAATGACAAAGACAAACCCCGACCTTATGCTCTTCAAGGCTAAGCACCTTCGTGGTCACTTATGTGCGACTTATTTTGCTTACACCAAGTCCAAGCGTAGTCCTTTTGACTCCCCAGTGGTCTTCCGTGCTAGTTCCTATCTTGACCTTGTCCACACGGACATCTGGGGACCCAGTCCGATTCTGTTGGCGAGTGGCTCTGCCTTCTTCGTAGTCTTCATTGACGATTACTCCCGCTTTATGTGGGCCTATCCAATGCGTTATCGCAAAGATCTCTATGAGACGTATGAACTATTTCGTACGGATGCCATGTCTATTTTTAAATATGACATTGGCGAGTTGCGTCACACGCACCCCACGAACATTGGCACTCTCCAAAGTGACAACGTCAAGGAATTCGAGAAGCTCGACCGCCTCATCCGGCCGAAATTCAACACTCGGGTGGCGTTTTCCAATGCTCATCGAATGTGCTCTGCCCAAGTTCCTATGCGCTCTTGCCCTCGACTATGCATCATGGCTTATTAATATCTCTCTGTCGTCCTCGAACAAGGGTGTCTCACCTTACCACGTTGTATTCAATGGACACCCCTCGTTGGGTCACATCAAAACCTTCGGTTGCACAGCGTTTGTGCACGGTTCTACGTGCCTCACAAATTTCCAAGCTCGATCGCCGTGCCTTCAAGGCAATGTTCGTGGGTATCCCACACAACCGCAAGGGTTATACCCTTTTGAACTTGCATTCTCATCGCACTTATCTACTGTGACGTTACTTTCTGGGAGTCCGAATTTCCCGCGCTCAACTCTGTTGAAGCCGCCGCTGCGTATCGCAGACGGCTTGCCTCAGATCCTACTTTTGTTCCATCCCTGGAACCCAATGACCCATTGCCCTCACTACGCTCACTTATTGAGAACCGGCCTAGTGCCTTCATTTACGACAAGCCTCTGGCTTCATCACCGCCCACCCTCTTAGCACAACCCACGTCGTCTCTCAACCCATCATGTCACTCACTGTGGCACTACCTAACCGTCTTTTCGATGTGTTCACTACCTTTCCGTTGACAAGCCCGGTCTATGACCCAACTGTCACTCCTCTACGCCGACTTTATAGTCGTATTCCATCTGCCTTTTCGGCCCACCTTTCATCACTGGTCTCTTTGATCCGCCCATCAACACCACCCACATCCCTCGACTTTATTAGTTATTCATCAACTAGTCTCCTCATGACCACAACTCCTATGGAGTCCCTCGCCGCCTACAGCAACGAACCGCATTATGCACTTACGGCTTTGCCTTCGCCTTCCTCACAACCAGTGAACTCTGTTCCACCCTCAGCCCCTATGGGACCATTGTTCACCTACGCTCTACTCGCCGGCCGCGCCGACAACAGCGACACAAAGACTGGCGTGATGCTTTGTTGAGCCCTGACCATGCCCAATGGCTTCTAGCCGCCAAATCGGAATAAGATTTTTTTCTCTCAAATCGCACTTATGTGCTGGTCAAACGTCGTCATGACGAAACGGTTCTACCGTGTCTCTGGGTCTTTCGACTCAAAGCCGATGGCACATGCAAGGCCCGACTTGTCGTCAAAGGATTCATGCAACAAAAAGATATCGACTACACGGGCATTTTTGCTCCTGTTGTACGACTCGAAGTTCTTCACTTCCTCTTTGCCTTAGTGGCCATCCATGATTTGGTTCTGCAACGCTCTGCGTATCTACTACGTTGTCGACTTCCTCAGTGATCGCGTCTCTTAGTCGGACAGTGGTTTTGGCACTTCTGCCTTATGGCACCAACTCATTATCTATGCCTTTCGTACTCCTGCCTTATGGCCCCTACCTGATATTTATGCCTCATGGCTTAAACAGGATATGTACCTCGTGTTCTACACCTCGCATCATTTGCCTCGGCTATATTAGCCACCACTTTTATCCACGCTGTCTTTTGCACCGCTCGATCTTGTTGGGGCTTGCTCACTTCTATGTCTGCTCGTGCCGCTTGAAGT